CATGACATTATTTACCTTCCCCTAAAGAAAAGGCATTATTTACCTTAACACACACACCCTCTCCTCGACTATTATTCTCGTGATCATTTCAACCACCTGATCTAAAAACCCCTTGAGTTATATAATTTTATATAGAAAGGTCCAATTAATATTATCACACATGCTCCACTTTTTTATGCCTATCATGCAAAACCTAATGCAATATCAGCACCCCTGCCATAAAATGTGTGCCCTTTTTGAAAGGTTGTTTGCAGTGGTGAATAATGTCCTCTACACACTCACACAACCTATTATAGTAGAGATCTCGTTAGTCAATAATTTGACGCTAGCATTGAGTAAACAAATTAGCCTAAATTATTGTACTCTATTATGCCAGCTCCAGAGACTCTTTGGGACTAAAGTGATGGTACTATAATTAAGCCTTTTTGCATCGAGGTTCTCTATTATAGGAATCATCAAAGAAATGCTTAAGAGTAAATTTACTGATAAAATTTGATGAGAAAACCATCTGGATCATGAGCTTTATTGATTATGATGAACAGCGAACACAAGTTTTTTTTAAGTATCATCTAGAGAATCCTCAGCCAGGAACATCTCATTAATATAACCTGAGGATCAGCGTTCAGCGACATGATCAAAATGGAAATTAGCATAAATAGATGCATCCTGAGACTAACCAAACAGATCCATGTAAAAAATTAGTAATATGAGTCATCAAACTTTCCCATCCCTCGATGACATTATTTCCATCTTTCAAGGACGATATTTAGATTGTGCCTCATTCTTCCGCTAGGTTTACTCGTGTAATATTTAGAATTTGCAGTCCTCGAACTCCTTTTTCTTTTGCCCTTTTGCATCCACTCGATATCATCCATTTCTTTAGCCCTTCCCCTCAAATGAATAACTAGCTCCTCCACTCATTGCTTATTGCCCATCAGATATTCATATTTTCTTCTTACTCTTAATGTTCCTGTTCCAGTCCATCTCAGTTAGCACTGGTCCTGCCACTGCCTAGCTCTTTGCCAAGATCTGGCTGTGATATAGACACATCACACATGTGAAGTCCCCAGCCCCTAGTCCCTAGTTCGGAAATGTGAAAAGGAATACAGAAGAAAGGGGACTTGCAATGGCAGTTAGCCAGTGGCAGAAGCAGCCGTATATTCCAAGTGCGCAAAATATCACATAAATACTGCAAATTAACCTCAGATTATTGTCCCGCAGTTTTCCCTATTTCGTGTAAATTAGCCTCAGAGCTTGCAGTAGTAAGTCTAGTGGCATATGGCACTGGCACTGGCTGGCACTGGCAGCTAGCTTATTAGCTATAAATATGTGAAGCCAAGCTGCTGCTGCTACCACGAATCCACGATGCAGCGAGGAGTGGCTGCATGTAGTACAACCGAGTGCACCACCGCAGCGCTACCACCACAGGCGCAACCAATAGCGGCTGGGGCGGCCATGGACGGGAAGAAGGGGAAGAAGAAGGGCGGCCTCAGAACAATGCCCTTCATCTTTGGTGAGCAAATTATACAGTCTCTTGCGAACTACTACTTCGAATTCGCCTGGTTGCTTAAGATTAAACTGTGTGTGTTGGCTTGGCTCGCGCGCTGCAGCCAACGAGGTGGCGGAGAAGCTTGCCGTGGTGGGCTTCTCGACGAACATGCTGACCTACCTCACCCAGCAGATGCACATGCCGCTGGCCAAGGCGGCCACCACCCTCACCAACTTCGGCGGCACCTCCGCCATGACCCCGCTCATCGGCGCCTACCTCGCCGACGCCTGCATCGGCCGCTTCTGGACCATCGCCGGCGCCTCCGTCGTCTACCAATTCGTGCGTACACGTACACTTGTTTCGCACGTAGACGGCGACGATACCCATACGAAGCAGAGCTGAACTGTACGTGACGCTGGTGCTTACTTCTTGCATGACAGGGGATGGCCCTCCTGACGGTGTCGGCGGCGCTGCCGCAGTTCCGGCCGGCACCGTGCAAGGCGGCAGGGGGCGGCAGCGGCGCGTGCGAGCAGGCGCTGCCGTGGCAGCTCGCCGTGCTCTACGTGTCGCTGTTCCTGAACGCGGTGGGCGCCGGCGGGTACCGGCCGTGCATCGTGGCGTTCGGGGCGGATCAGTTCGACGAGTCGCAGACGGCGGAGCGCGCGCGGACGTGGGGCTTCTTCAACTGGTACTACTTCTGCAACGGCGCGTCGCAGCTGGTGGCCGTGACGGCGGTGGTGTACGTGCAGGACAACGTGGGGTGGGGCTGGGGCCTTGGCGTGCCGGCCTTCTGCATGGGCGTCTCCGTCGTCGCCTTCGTCGGCGGGTACCCGATGTACCGCCGGCTCGACCCGTCGGGCAGCCCGTTCACGCGTCTCGCGCAGGTGGTCGTTGCCGCCGTCCGGAAGCGCCGCGTCCCCAGGGTGGACGACCCCGGGAGGCTTTACGAGAACGACGAGATGGATGCGCCCATCTCCATGTACGGCAAGCTCGTGCACACCAACCAGCTCAGGTACGTGCGTGCGTGACGCGCCTTCTGTCAACCACCTCTCCTTTTCTTTTCTAGGAGTTCTTGGATCCCAGAATTCCCTTAAGTAACGACGCTGGATTTTCCGGCGGTCATGGTTCAACTGGTTTGGTTCTGTTCCATATATAGTAACAAAATACTTCCTCTCCCAATTACTTGTCTTACATTTGCCGTATCTAGACACGTTTTTAGGACGTAGGTAATACTTACTCCTCCGTCTTGAATTATTTGTCGCTCAAATGTATGTATATATCTAACATTATTTTAGTGCTAGATACATTCATTTGAACAACAAGTAATTTTGGACGGAGGGAGTACTAGCCAAACCACCTCCAGCACAGTAAGCTTTACAAAGTTCAGCCTTCCATCAGAAAGGAATAAAATCCGCATCGTATGATCACAAGTCAGAATGTGTAATCCCCGTAAGACCGTGAACATTACAAGTCAGCAACGACGATAAGATACTGCGAGTACTAGAGGCTACCAGCGTACCAGCTATATATGTATGTAGCCAGCCAATTTAGATGGTCCAAGATCATTTATGAACAAGAGGACGTAGGAGATTAGAAGGCGATGTCAGCAAATGAGGCCAAAGCCCCTCAAAAAATAAAAAGCAAATGAGGCCAAAAACGAGCATACTCCCCCTGAGCTGGAGTGCTCTAGCTGCGCTGAGATGGGACGATAGCCGCCGCTGGACTGGATTTCAGCGGCGCAGTTCCAGTTCTAGCTCAAAATATGTTGTGTTCGAGTCATGTTTCCCACGTCTGTACCGAAAACCCACCCAACTTTGCGCTGGATTTCAGCAAAGCACAAAATATATCTACTTGGTTTGCCAGCCTTCGCGTCCTTGTGACTAACCAAGATGAGCAGACAACTAATGTCAAAAAAAGAGAGCAGATAACTAATGACTCGTTCACCACACGCTCGACACCATCTTCTAGATGGCAATGAGGCCCCGAAATCCGCGTCCCCGTGGGTTTTTACCCTATTAGGGGACGGAGATGGGCGTTTTTTCAACCCCGCGGGGCTGCTATTGGGTAAAGTATAAAACCCGACACGTTTCACGGGTTCAAACCCGTTTCAGCATTACCCAAACCTGAAACCCGCCATCCCGTCAAAATACTACAATAAGCGTATTCGAGGAGTACAATCTTGAGAGTGATGATGATCATGGACATCCATCTTGCTCATTCTCTTCTTTGCAAGCTCCAGTCCTTATGTCACTCTTCAATAAACGTGTTGCTAAAAAAATGGCCAACATCTTTTAGGGTGAAATCTGAGCTAGACCATTCCTTGAAAAATGAGCTAGTTCCATTGTCCAAAAATAAATTTAGTATGTTAGATTGGTGAAAAGTTGGCGGAATACGCTATCCAAATTTGAGGCTGCTAGCACGTGATATTTTTGCAACTCCGGTTAGCACGGTTGCCTCAGAATCAACATTTAGCACAAGTGATAGAGTTCCATTTCTAAGCGGTAGAGCTCCAGTCCTTATGTTTGCTTAAATATGTTGATTTCCCGTGGGTTTAGAAAACCCGATGAGTTTAGGGGACGGACAAAAAGCTAGCCCCGCACATGGTGACGGGACGGGCTTACGATTTTCTTGTGGGGATGAGTTTGGAAAGACAAAACCCAGTGAGTTTCGTCTCCGTTGCCATCTTGACACCATCTTGCCTACTGTCATCGTCGTTTCCTTATTCTGTAAACAGAACACTTTATAGATTAACAGCAGCAATTTGTTTCCGATTAGTACACTTCTTTTTAGTGGTCTGCCCATGAAATGCGACACGCATACCTCTCTACTAATCTTACCCAACTTTACCTCCGGCTAACACTGCACAACGTCGAGTGTTTCAATTTTCCGAGTCCCTCGATGACCTGTCTGATAAAAGCTTTGATTCCCGCTTCAGCTATGATCCCACGTCACCCACACTATATTCACCAAGTGCAGCCAGCAATTCTTTGCTTTTCATTTCAGATCATCACTAGGAGCTTAAAAACCCAAATTGTTGGCGTAACCCAAACTTTGGTCCCCAAATCGAGCAGTTCCAGTGATGCCAAGCCCGCCAAAACGAAGGAAGAACAACAATTATTGCTGTCCTCAAGAACTCATGAGATGAAGGAAAGAGTAATGCTCAAAACTAATCAACCTGTTTCTCGGCTCCATCCTGCAGCTACTTCGATCGCGCAGCAATTATCACCGACGGCGACCTGCCCACGATGGACGCCTCTTTCAGCAAGCAACCGCTGAACCTGTGGCGGCTGAGCACGGTGCACCGTGTGGAGGAGCTCAAGTCGGTGGTGCGCATGGGCCCGATCTGGGCGGCGGGCATCCTGGTGATCACGGCGTCGTCGCAGCAGCACACCTTCTCCCTGCAGCAGGCGAGTACCATGGACCGCCGCATCGCTCCGCACTCATCCTTCAAGATCCCCGCCGGCTCCATGACCGTCTTCACCATGCTCGCCATGCTTGTCACCCTCTTCGTCTACGACCGTACGCTCGTCCCGCTGGCCCGCCGCCGCACGGGCCTGGACCGTGGCATCTCCTTCCTCCACCGCATGGGCGTCGGGTTCACCATCTCTGTGGCGGCCTCCCTCGTTGCGGGCTTCGTCGAGCGCCATCGCAGGGAGGCCGCCGTGGCCGGGGGAACCACCGACGCTGGGACAGCCCCGCTGTCTGTGTACTGGCTGGTGCCGCAGTACGCACTGCACGGGGTGGCTGAGGCGTTCAACTCCGTGGGGCACCTGGAGTTCATGTATGACCAGGCGCCGGAGAGCATGCGCAGCACGGCAACAGCGCTCTTCTGGCTGTCCATCTCGCTGGGCAGCTACGTGAGCACACTGCTGATCACCATCGTTCACCGGTGGAGTGCCGGTCCCGACGGGTCCAACTGGCTCCTGGACAACATTAACCGGGGCAAGTTGGACTACTTCTACTGGGTCGTGACGCTGCTACAGGTCATGAACCTGGTGTACTATCTGATATGTGCTAGACAATACACGTACAAGCCCGTGCAACACCACGAGGAAGAGGAGGGGAAGGACAAGTCCATGGTGGAGCTGCAACAGAAGGTTTGAGCGAGTAACACTATGCAATGTAGTGTGATGTATATCATTACATGCAGGTACTGGCCTAGCTAGCTAGGTAGACAAATATGTGAAGATGGAGGTGAATGCATATGTCATTCAGGGTTTGTATGGGATCAGGAACAGAGAAATGTATCTAGTTCTCTAGCAAGTTGCCAAGTTGAACGAGTAACACTATGCAATTTAGTGTGATGTATATCAGTATATGGCTATATGCAGGCACTGGCCTAGCTAGCTAGAAGAAGGTAGGCAGATCTGCGAAGATGGAGGTGAATGTATATGCCATTCAAAGGTTTGTATGGAGAGCTAATATCAGGTTTCTACGAATGTGTAACTCTGCTCGTCATGTTCATAGCTGATCGCGGTTATTTGGAAGTGTTTGGTGGCAAATTCATGTGACCAATTTGTCAATGACAGAAACAATCTGATCTTGGCACCATAGCTCTTAAATCACAACTCAGCAGTGCTATATTATTCAAGAACTATACCGAGATATAATACATAGCAACACAGTCATTGTTACCATGTGGACTTATCGAATAAAGCCATTGTTGTGCACATTGACCACAATAGTTCTCTTATAACAGTTTGCCTAAGAAATGCAGTAGTGAAGATGCTGCAGGTCAGATATGGAATTAGGTCTGGTGGTACTAACCATCGGCAGTTGAGCAGAGTCGTGCAGAACCCGCTAGCTCTGGTCGATCGGACGCCCAGGGTTACCCAATCAGACGGTGAGCTTGATTTCGAAGCCGAGGGAGGGGTGGATGTGGTCGGCTGGGGATGTGACGACGGCGGTGACCGCGGCGGCAGGAGGGCCGACGGGGAGGCGGCGGGTGACCATCTCGTCGACCTTGGCAGGGTCTCCGGAGAGGAGGGCCTCCACGGTGCCGTCGCGGCGGTTGTTGCGGACCCAGCCGGCGAGGCCGAGGGACTCCGCCGTCTCGGCCGTCCAGTCGCGGAAGCCCACGCCCTGGACCCGGCCCTTGACCACCACGCGGACCGCCTTGTTCGCGAGAGGTTGGTCGGGGGGAGGTGACGAGGCGGCGGCGGCGGCGGAGGTGGCCATGGCGGCGGCGAGGATGGGGCGAGGCAGCGGCAGGCGGCGATAGAGACGTGACAGGGTTTTTTTGTTGTTGAGAAATTAGAGACGTGACAGGTGGGACAACTGGGGGCGGAGGAATCTTTGTGCTCGTGGGCCTCTAAAGTCGAAGTAGCTTTCGGCCCAAAAGCTTTGGGAAAAGGGTTGCAATTTTTGACATTTGATCGGAAGCAGCTAACCAACTAACCAAGTGATATCTCTTAGATCACCCTAAAGAACATTTTTAATGGCGCCTTTTTAAAACTAAAAAATAAATTTTTACATTGTATTTTTTTCAAATGTCACAAATATTTTTTGGAATGCCTGGACATTTTTCAAAAATGCCACGTACATTTTCTGAATGGTAGGAAACTTTATTTTTATCACGCAAACAATTTTTGGACATGTAATAACATTTTTATTCCCTTTTTTCATTTCCTTCTTTATCACATATATACTTTTTCAGCACACATTGTAGCATTTTTAGTATACATGAAGCATTTATTTATACATGTTGAATATTTTTCAAACACGTAATTAACAAATTTTAGAACTACATGTTTTGAATATACTGCATCAATCTCAGTTGTAAAAAAATGTCTTACATTTTGAGACAGATGGAATAGTTTTCAATATGTGCTGAACATTTTTCAGATACACCATTTTTTTGGACAATATAATCATTTTAAAAAACTGCACAATCATTATTTTTACATTTTTGTGAATATTTTATAAAACTAGTCTCTACTCTTATAAAAAACAGAGTTGCTGATGATGGTGTGCCTGCCATCCTGCAATATAGACCGTCTAATTTATATCTAACGGATAGGAAGGAAAGTATGGCAATTTTGCAAAAAGATACCCACACCCCTCTCCACATTTGCATATATGGCCTTCCCTCGTTCATCATTTTCTCTCACAAGATAAACTACTCATACAAATGCATATTGATGTTCCGTGCAACGCACGGGCATCTTGCTAGTATGAACATATTTTGAAGCACATGCTTATTTTCTTAACTGTAACCTACGGTTTTTCAATGGTTTGAAACATTTTATTTGAATTATAAGGACATTTTTACATTGCAAAGAATTTTTTAGAATTGTCACATACTTAAGCACGTGAACATTTTTTATATGTCACAATTTTCTTTTATCCAATCAACACTTTTTTATACTACGCTAACATGTTTTTACTTCAGCATTTTATAAAAATTTAAGTGTATTTTTTTTGGAATACATGTTTTTCTAAATACAAACAAAATAAAAAAGAAAATGTAAAAAATGAAAAATGAAAAAACAGAGAAGAAAAACAAACTGCATGCAGGAAGCTATTTGGGCCGACCCATTTATAGCTACGAGAGGACATTGCCTTAGACAAGAGCCCCTTCGAAATCACTAATTAGGGAGTACTCCTTGCGGAGATTACTCCAACCTCCCCAGATTGTGACAAGTGATGCGCTGCATGTGCGCTACTTGTCGCAACCTGGGAGTTTTCCCTTTTTTCTAGATCCATTTATTTAAAATATTTTATCTCTTAAACCGTGCGTCCAAATCTCGAACCGCTTTCGCCATTGGATTCCTCGCATCGAGATCTTCAAAACTAGATCCCATGTTGATAGGTTTTGAAGAAATTTTTTTTCACGAAAAAACCGGGCGAAAAAAACCGACGAAAAAACCGAACCGGGAACACGGGTTTTTTCCCTTTCCGGAAGAGGCACGCCCGTGCCTCTGACGAAATCACAACCGTGCCTCTCGCGGAAACAAAACCGTGCCTCTCACGAAAGAAAAAAAACAAAAAATGCGTTTTTTTTCTTTTTCGGAAGAGGCACGCCCGTGCCTCTCGCGAAAGCACAACCGTGCCTCTGGCGGAAGCGAAACTGTGCCTCTTGCGAAAGGAAAAAAAACAGAAAACGTGTTTTTCCCTTTCCGAAAGAGGCACGCCCGTGCCTCTCGCAAAAGCACAACCGTGTTTTTCCCTTTCCGAAAGAGGCACGCCCGTGCCTCTCGCGAAAGCACAACTGTGCCTCTGGCGGAAGCAAAACCGTGCCTCTGGCGAAAGAAAAAAAACAGAAAACATGTTTTTTTCCTTTCCGAAAGAGGCACGCCTGTGCCTCTCGCGAAAGCACAACCGTGCCTCTAACGGAAGCAAAACCGTGCCTCTCGCGAAAGAACAAAAACAAAAAACACGTTTTTTTCCGTTTCCAAGAGGCACGGCCGTGCCTCTCGCGAAAGCACAACCGTGCCTCTTGCGAAAACAAATTCGTGACTCTCGCGAAAAAAATGCGCTTTTTGCGCAAAAAGAAATTCAAAAAAAAAATTTGGTCGAAAAGCTAGGGAAGACCGGTAAAAAACCAAAACGTAAAAAAACGAAAAAAAAATCTTTTAAAAAGACAAAAACGCGTGCGTAAAAAAAAATCCGGAGGGAGCGTCCAGAGCGCGACACGTGGCGAATGGCTGTGAGCGCGCCAAGTGGCGCTGATCGTTGTGAGGCTTCCGAAGGAGCGCTCGTTAATTAGTTGCTCCCGAGCCCCTTGGGTTTCTCTATAAGAAACATATATATATAACCGCACTCCTTGATGGCTGGGCCGAAGAAATTCTTTTTATTTTGGCCTAGCCCAAAGCTATCCCCAGTAAAGGTATGCATTTGTTTCTTCATTCTTTGTTTTGTCGCTAAAAAAGCGAAAATTCATTTGTCTAGTGCCTTCTATATCTAAATAGCTAACTTCCACTAATGTATTTTTCTCAACATGCAAGCATGTCACCTTAGCATGGACATGCATGAGTAAAGGTCCATCCCAACATGCAACTATGCATAAAGGAAAAGAAACCACATGAACATGTGAACGTGCATGATAATTTATACTCTATTAATAAATATTTTTAACTATGCAATTATCGAACACAATAAAGCATACGTATTTTCAGTTTTTGTTATCATATTATTGCTTCAAATATTCATGCTCCATATAACCAAAACTTATTAAAATATATTGCGAATTATTCCTGCAACGTGTGGGGTATCATCTAATCTGTTTCCAATGACATCACGTAATCAAGAGCATTGCTTTTACCGCGGGCCTTACAAGGAAGGGAGGGAATCAGAGAAGGCTAGTTTCCTAGAAACATAGTATATGTAGACGCAGGCGTTTGTATACACGCATGAACACCCAACCATGTAAAGCACCTTCAGGAGACGGAGTTGACGCATCTAAGATTGACAAAGTCGTCAGAAACGCCATGTAGTCGAGGGGCACGCCATACCACTAAGAGAGTAATGTCGGAAGGCCTGGAATAAAACCTGAAAAATGTGACAACTCGTACCAAATCTATGACTGAAACCTGGTTGGGATGGTTCCACCACAAAAAGTATTCCATCCATCTGAGTTATGCTCAGTTCGCTCACTGGCTATATTGTGTACACAATATAGTTGCCACAGAGTGTGTTAACGTTTTTGTCGAGTCAACCAACCCAGCTGAGCTTATAACAAATCGAATCAAACTGAGTTTTTTGCTCGCTAGAGTTATCGAGCTTAGCAAGTACTCCCTCCATTCGGAATTACTCGTTCAAAAAATGAATGGTGAGTGACAAGATAGTGACAAATAATTCCGAACGGAGGGAGTGACAAGATAGTGAGTTCAATCTAAACGATGGAAGTTGGCTCCTTACAGTTATGGATGCAAATGTTTCATAAATCTCGAACAAGTTATTTTGTTCACATGGATGCTTGTGAAGAATATGGTAGTGTGATAAATGAATTAGATTAGACATGAGTATTTCTGCGATTTATAGAAACATGATACAACTTTTCTGTCATCCCATTTGTTTAAGAGAGTATGACTAGCATTTCTTGAAGGTAGCCAAGTTACAAAGAAATTACAGTATGAAAAAGAGTTCATAGGCATTCCTCAAGCACGAATGGTCTATAAAAAGACCAAATCAAACCATTTCACATTATGAACCTTTCAGTCATCTCTTATCTTATTACAAAATGTCCGGGTTGTGATGACATAAGCCATGTCATCGGGAAGATGTATATGGACTTTCTAAATCGTCTGTGATGGCACATTCTTAAGTAGTGGCATATCCTTTGTGGCAGTCCTCAAGCATCAGTGAAGAGGATGATCTGCACTAGAGACAAAAAGTAAATAACCTCATCTTGCATCGTATAATGTAAGAGCACAATCAATTGTTGATATTTGTTTATCTTATTACGCTGGTTTGTTTGAGAGATGTTAAAGCTCATGATATGAAACTGGATTCTACTAAATTTTTGGGTATGAATAAAATTATTTTGTAAATCTGAACAACTATTGGTTAAACAGTTGGCAGTTGAAGAAAAATATTTGGAGAATACATATTCAGTGTACATAAGAATATTTCAACAAAATACCACACAACAAATGAATGACACCTACAAACTAAGTTTTCAGATGCTTAAGAAAGCCAAGCTGCAGAAGCTAGCCCATCCAATTTATCTTACACATCTTGCTTAATGATAACAAAAAGAATAGAATAAAACAATCCAGAAAACTGGCGATGGTCGATAGCAATGGATGGTTTCAATTTTGTACCTTGGCGATGATCTTCTTGGTGAGAGTATAGTCAAGTTAACTTTATTTCTGCACATCTAGCGGGTATCGATGGATGCAACTAGCCCATGGCCCATGGTCACCGTGAGATGTACGGATGCACACCCACACTGCGGAGTTGCATTCATATCCAGCTCCGAAACCAATCATCCAGACCCTATTACCTTTTAGCATTCGACCCTTGGCTTCTATGTATCCCAACTCGTACCACACAGATGCACTCGACTGATTTCCGAATTGATGCAGTGTCATTCGTGAAGGCTCGACATGCTCATCTGATAGATTAAGGCCACATTGTACCGAGCTGATCACCGCTGGTCCACCAACGTGGATGCAGAAGTGCTCGAACGCTGTACGGAAATTGGGAATGTAAGGCCTTATCCTCCTCCCAAGGAGCATCTTCCTTGCCAAGGAGACGAGAAGAAACTTGATCAGCTCTGATGTAGGCAAGACAAGTGGCCCCATGGCCGTGATGTTGGCCTTGAGAGCGTCTCCAGCAATAGCCATGAGGTTCTTTGACAGATTGGCGCCCTTAATTCCCTCATCGTCTTCCTCTTGGTACACACAACGGTAGGCATTGTCGTCACTAGCAGTGATCGTCCGCACAACATGTGTGAGGAGGAACCTGGCTTTGGACCTAGAACTCGATAACATCATGGCCGCACCACCCATGCGGAACAAGATAACGGTTGTTACCCGCGTAGTGATTGGGTCCAATGGTCTCCGTCGACACCACTAGCGCATATGATCCAAAAGGCATGACCTCCAAGATGTTCCTTGCGAGCCCCACTGCAGTTACTGTTGATGACGCGGAGGTCACCTCGCAGCTTGTAACTGTTGACAATCATGTCGGCAATTGACGGAACTGGTAAAAAGACACTGCAGTTGGTGATTAGAATATCGATCGCATCAAGGTTAATCCTCGTCTTAGCCAGTAGGTCATCGATCACTGAGAAGATGACTAGTTCTACCTCGGCGCGGGCTTCATCCAGACTACAATTTGGCTCAATGTAAGAAAGTGCAGGTGGAACACAAGTCTCTTCACTAAGGCCGGAGTGCTCAAGAACTCGTGTTATGAATTTAATGGTAGAATCGGCAAGGAAGGTCGACATACGTGCATGCTCGAGTAAGGCCGCCTTTGGCAATCGATAGTTGGGGCTAGGCCGGAAGCAATCATAGTCAACAAGGTATGTGGCTCTAGGGCGATGTGCAAGGTAGACGGCAGCCGCAACGGTTGGAAGAACAATGGGCAAGAGTAGGTGAACTGGCCAGAGAGCACGAAGTGGCTCGCCTGCACCGGCAATCCATTGTGCAGCTTTTAGGAGCCAGGCTGCCGCAAGTGTCATGGCGATGGCGAGATGGAGGATGATGTTGGCAGCTAAATGCTATAGCAATTTGAGAAGAGTGATATGAGATCACGAAGCAAGTTGTGTGATGGTGTAGTGTATATAGGAGTATTACAGGAAACTTGTGGGAGATCGTTATATAGGGGATCAGGAGTGATGCTATAGTGGGTTAATGTTATATTCTTGCTCAAAAAGATTTGCAAAAATACTCTCCTTGAGCTATCAAATCAACCATAGAACAACTGCCTAACTGTCATAGCCTCTTGGGACCCTAACTTTTATTGCGCTACATCGTAGCACATCGAAACAAAAACAGCGGGAGTCATGAGACCATGCATGTCGACTTCTCAACCATCTTATACCGTACATACCATATTATTCATGTTGCGCATTAGTAGTGGCCTAGTAGTAGCCATGTTTTTCACATGGCACAGCAGGAGCACTCTTATTCAGATTATTAAGATGCCGGACATTGTGAAGGTGCCAACCAACTAATTTTTGGTCCATCTTTTCAGGGTACATGTGCGAGAGCGGAAATAATCCCATAAATTTTAGTCCATAGTTTTGTTTTTTGGGATTCTCCTTCAGAACGGTATTTCCAGTTTGGGGATTGTACCACGGGCATCTTTTTGAGAGCAGCAATCAGTTTGTATTGATAAGCAATAGTGGCGCAATAAACCAGTGAAAGTGAAATAAATTAGCACATACAGCTTCAATTGGTATTGCTTGAGAGGATCTACTGGAGCAATATTTACTCAAACAAAATAACTGTTAACTGATACTAGTAATAGAAGGGAAATTGCAAAATAAAATAAAATATATAGCCTCATGCCCTTAGAATTAACATACTACCCGATGATTTACCAGATCCATTGTCTTGATCTCCAGCCACCTTTGCATCCTCACTTTTTTTCCGTGCCTCTAGAGAAAAAAAATAGGACAAGATAAAATCTACACAAGGTGGACTAACTTTGAAGGTTTTAAAGAGCCACAATGGCCGATCCCAAGAGGCGAGAACATGAATTCACGAAATCAGGGGCACTCACCTCTCAAAATAGGTTGTGAACCACTGCTTCATCGACAGATAACCAGGAAAGAAGGCCAAGATCAGGAAAGTACAAAACATGGAAACCACACTCCATAACAAAGGCTAGATAGCACCAAATGCCTTTTTTAAGCGTAAGCACCAACTGCCAAGACAAGACCTGATGCTAGATGGCAATCACTAGATTGAGAGCCATGACCCATGAGCAAACACCATGGCCTCCCTAGTGGGCACACCGACACAAGGGCGTTGATATATCCAAAATATATCATACTCCTTGAATTTACTGGTGTCTTTTCACAAATTCCAGGTTACTCTGGAAGAGGAGTGAGGTGTCAAGAAAGGATGTGGCCAATGCCAGCACTTTTACAAAGTCTAACTTAAGAGGCGAGACGGAGAGCAGAGAAGAATGGAGGCGAGCAAAATTCTGTTGATGCAATTCCCATCATAGATCACCATCTTCATTGCTCTCTACGCCCTGTAGCCTATCAAGAACTGACGACTGGTTTGTAAACTGGACAACAACAACCAGGGCAAGCTGGACTAATTCTACTGGGTCGCGACTCTGCTGCAGGTCATGAACCTGGTGTACTAAGTCATGTGTGCCACGCACTCCATGTTCGACTCCTTGAAGCTCCATGAGACCGGGGAGGGGAACAACAGGTCCATGGTGGAACTGCAAGAGAATGACTGAGTAAAGAGAAGAATGCGCCTATATGCAGGTACAGGTTCAGCAAGCTAGAAGTGGGTAAATAGATGTTTCGAGACTGAAGTGATATGTATGGAGATCAGTCACAGGCAGAAACTTTTCCATGACAAATCGAGCGATACAGCTGCAAATCCCAAAAACATTTTCATCCAGCACAACATAAGCTGTATTATTATGCAATCACTATACACTACTACACATCAACTCCATACATGGAAAGAGAAGCTGACAAGTACACACAAAGTCTTGGGCGGTTCAGCTTCAGTCGTCCAAAAACTTTGGTAGGGTTTTGAGCAAGCACGAAGCGCTCATAGTCATAGTGGGCTCTAAAGAATATTTTGTTTTAGACTGTCGGCTCTTCGGAACTAGGTAGCAAGACATAGTACACCCAGATAATGAACAAACCACAGTTCAACGCTGTTATGAACGCCAGTGATTAAACCATTGGGGGAAGGATCCTCCACGCCACGGATGCTTGGAGAGAACGAGGCGATGTTGGAGCAGTGGACATCAATGATCATCAACCATTGAGGGAGGAGATACGTCAGGAATGGAGGTCATAGAGACCTTGCTTCCTTGTTGGTGACAGTTGGAGGTTGTTGAACGGAGGCTGGGGCCCTGGGCTGACAGGGCAGAGGAGAGGCCATTGAGTAGTAGTCGACTGGTACATCTGCAGGATAAACGGCAACGAGTGGTAATGTTGATGAAATCTGGCCATTTGCTTTTTACCAAGAGAAGCCTATGTACACATTTATTTTCCTTGGCCTGAATTGTATGAACTATTCAACAGATTGAGTGATATAAGAGATTCGCTTGCTAATCTATATCAGGGGAGAAGTTATTTTGGTAGATCATCAGACATATGAATGGCAGAGAATGGAAGAACAGATTCGTATACAATTTTACTAGTATTTTGTTTGGTTGTTTCTACTGATCCTTTAGAATAGAATTTCTAACCCCCCTCTTTGATATGCGCATTGATTCAATAAACACCACACTCGCGATCCTGCCACTAGGAATTCCGATTCCAATAGTTCGAATCAATAAGCTGACATCTCGCTCAATAGCATGCTAAAAATCATTGAATGCGAAATGTTCAGAGGTTTTATTACCATGTCACTGACAAGAGCCAGTGGTCATCAGGCGGTGGGCTTGCGGTGGAAGCCCTCGGAGGGGTCGAGCGGATCGGCGGGGGAAGGCAGCACCGCGGTGACAGTGGCGGCGGGAGGCCCGACAGGAAGGCGCCGGGAGACCATCTCGTCGACCCTGGCGGGTTCTCCGGAGAGGAGGGCCTCCACGGTGCCGTCGCGGCGGTTGCGGACCCAGCCGGCGAGCCCGAGCGCGCGCGCCGTCTCCACCGTCCAGTCTCGGAAGAAGACGCCCTGCACGCGGCCCTTCACCACGACCCGCACCGCCTTGGGGACCGATTGCTGCGGGGGCGGCGGGCTGGCCGAGGCGGCAGCGGCCATGGCCCGGCGAGAGGCGGCGGGGACGAGGAGGCGGGAGGCCGTGGCAGAGGTAGAAGGGAACATTCTGGAGGAGTAGGGTGTTCGGATTTCAGAGATGGTTCTCTTTCGAGTTCGAGAAGGGTTGCATCTGCAATAGCAAGAGGAATTTTGATCAAAAAATAAAGGAAAATGTTATCTGGCGACCGTTCGCCACTGGGCTAACCCCAGCGGACGCTCTCCCTGCTGTCACACGAATCTCGGCGCAGAGCCGACACCACGTAGGATCAGGATCGCTGGAGTGGTTCGCTGTTCAGAAGCTTCTGGCGGACGCATGGTTTACCTTTTTCAAAAATTCGTGAGCCGAGGGATCGAACCGAGCACCACTGGCTGACAGGGCCTTTTGTGAATCTGTTGTATTTAAGATGCCATATAGTATATTTTTCAATCCCGGAAATCCTGATTTTTTTTTCATTTTCTCACATGACAGTTTTATTTTTTATAGCATGGTGTTTTTATTATTGTGAGATGGACTTCTTTATTTTTAATGGCATGTCAGTTTTATTACTAAACGCATGGCATTTTTATCAACACTATGATGGAGTTTTTATCAACAATATAATGCCGTTTTATGATTGAGATATGGCATTTTATTTTTGAGACATGACAGATTTATTATTACGTGCATGGCATTTTTATTAACAATAGGATGTCATCTTTTATCAATAATAATAGGATGGCATTTTAATTATTGAGAGGGTGACTTTTTTATTATAAACATGATGGCATTTTTTAATGTTTAAGAGGGTGGAATTTTTTATTTTTAATGGGAGGACAGTTTTATTTATGAGGCGTATCCAGATAAAAAATTATCTAGGGGATGGTAGTTTTATAAAGTACGACGACATTTTTTTTCAAAGCATGGCATTTTCTCAATTTTATAATTTTGTGTTTTCCTATGTTCATGTCATTTTTATCCCGAGGATATCAGTTTTGAAGTTTTAGAATGTCAATTTTTTTATATTTTTATGTATTGTTTTTTGTTTATTATCCCAGGGATGACATTTTTTTTATCTAGACTAGACGATGGTACTTTTTAAGTTTAGCATGGCAAAAAGAAATCTAGA